AAAGAAAGTTAGGTACATATTTTGCGGATAACATTTGTGCTAACGTGATTTCAAGGAAATTTTTGGCAAAACCGAACAAAATAGTAGTCAATGGTAGTTGTACAATACAATGTAAATTAATGCCACTAACTTTGTGGTATTTGCAAACATATTAGACAATATTATTCTTGACTGATAATTTTGGGTTTACGTAACATCATTTATAGTAACAAAATAGGTATTCTACTCATAGGAAAACATCAGCAACATTTTATATAGAAAGACGCTAAAACCAAGTTATATCTTAACGAACTCCAAACATCTCATTACTCGTGGGTTTCCGACAAGGAAGAGGACACTGACATTAATCCTTCGCAACAAAAGGATAACAGCCATCTACATCAGCCAGTACGACGGCCTGTTGAGCTTTCATAAACCGGGGGCTAAGAAGACTTTATAGCTTTTAAATTAACACTCAATTCGGTAAGCCTGCCGTTTGGATTACGGAGGAGATAAATAGACTTTTCTGAAAAATGATGTGACCGCGATTGCAGAAGAACGGAGGTGAATTCCTCGAGAGCCTTTCTCCACTTCAGCGAATGAGTTCGCAGTCTTATAAATTACAATGTTCGGTAGCCTATGTGACCAAAGCCCTTCACAACATTGGTCTTTCATAATTCTCTACATAACCAACAATGTCATCCATCGTATTTACACACCACTTCACTATACTGTATCTCCAAGGGTTCCTTGGATCTATACAATTCAATAATTCGTGCTTTTGTCGATAAACTCTCCATGTCTTGATCCAACTCTTCACACGACTAACGAAGTCAGCCCTTTTTCAAGCCACAACATCCCTCTAAGCTAAGAGGATGTCTGAATACGAGAAGTGTCCTGCGGGTTGATACGACTCTCCATACTTTGGGTTTGTTCTAACTATCCACACATCTTACAAAGTATCTAGTATTTACATACATCACATCCCTGCCTCTAAGAGGGTGTTTGAATACGAGACGTGTCCTTCGCGCTGATACATAGACTCTCCATACCTTGGGTTTGATCTAACTATCCACACGTCCTACAAAGTATCTAGTATTTACACACATCACATCCCTGCCTCTAAGAGGGTGTTTGAATGCGAGACGTGTCCTGCGGGCTGATACATAGACTCTCCTTGGGTTTGTTCTAACACTCCACACATCCTACAAAGTATCTAGTATTTACACACATCACATCCCTGGTTCTCCTAGGGTGTCTACGGTCTAGGCAATTACATCGCTCGTGGCGATGCGATCTGGACTCTCCGTGCCTTGGGTTTCGTCATGGCTCAGCACGACTCGACCGACCTACATTCCTTCCTCCCTCTACCAGATTGCTGATTAATACCTGCCTTAACGACGAGTGGGAGTACCACTAGGCCTAATTTTAGGACCGTGTATTTTCCCTAATATAAATCTTCGTTGCGTGTCTACCGATGCCGTGTCGAGTGTTGCAGTGTTGGATAACACGTGGATTCTAATTTCCGCCGTAAATCTTCCTGATGTCTAAATCGCATCGACTGCGAAGCGGCAAAGTGCAAGTACTTTCAAATAGTGGGATGAAGTTATCACCGAGTCCATCAGCGTTAAATCTACTGTTGGTACTCGAAGGTGTAATTAGTGGGTAATTCACGATGCTTCGGAGGTAATCACGCAATGATTCTTAGCTAACACTGTGTACGGAACTTGTATTGTGGCGGCCACCGAGTAAGATAAACAATAGATGTGATCAAGACTCTTCATCTCCAGACTCTTGTTGAGTTCAGCTCAGTCCAGTAGTCCAGTGCTCTCTGTTCAGAGATGACAAGTGAAAACTCTTCACGGCCGATTTGATTGTCATTGTTGTTTTGATGCCGTACTGCTAGCTTGTTAGCTCTACAACGAGATGTTGTTAGGAGAAAAAAGAATGCCTATTACCAAGCCTTGATGGCCATCAGCATTGTTACGGTTAATTTAATAAAGCTAAAGCATGAAGATACATATGTATTTTATAGCACACCAATAAATAATAGTTTTCGTTTCAGCTCATCTTAAATTGTGTAAATGACTAAATTAAAAAACACATTCTACTCTAACTCTATTACTCATAATTGTTTCTGCATCGTAAATTGAATTTTCTATTTTCATAACTATACCTACGTTTTGTAATTTATCCCTGTTTTATATAGTTTGTTTTATTAAAGATTCGTTAATCAATGGGCAAAGTAAATTGATTTACGATTAGATACAAGCAATACAAGTTTCTCTTGATATAAAATAACTGATTAAAATTTTAGAACGGATATAACTTAACGTCCCTCTTTCTAACACAGTACCACAACATCTTTTTAGATGCCTATTGAACTATGCTTTAGAAATATAGCAGTTGGTGGTTATGAGAAACTTTTATAACACAATAAACTGTGATAAAAGATCCTTGTCACATTTTACTGTAGAATTCTAATACAACATTTCAAAACGTATCCGTGACAAACTACGAAGAACTGTTATTTGTGTAGCGTAGCCTGTGAAATGCCAATAATGACTCGGTTAAACCGTAAATTGGACCATGAAATTGGTCAATAGGTTGCCTCCTGGTTTGCTGGTGGTCGGTTGCTCCATTCAAGTGTGGCAATGCCGTGACAACTGTGGCATTTTTTAACATTGGAAACTATAGAAATATGGAAATTAACTATATCAAAGTAACCGAAATAGATTGAAAATTCTTCAAAGTAAATATTTGAACTCCCAAGCTGTGCTGAGTATTAAATTACGGACGGAAAGCTTGGAATAGTTTCAAAGATTTTCATAACGGTTCCAACGATTGATACATTTATTGTTTTTTTAATGCATACAATGTTACAATGTTTCTTGGTGAATATGATATTTTAACACAAACATTTCTAAGTTACGCATATGGGGTAAGTAGCAAAAATATGTATACACGTGGATACAGTGCCACGTTAAACGAATCTTCCAGCGGTCTTAACATGGTACAGTTGATCTTCGAGAGTACACGAGTACAAACCTTCCGAGCTTAATATTAACGTTTTTTATATCGTCCGTTTGACGTTTAGATGTTTATCGCGTTTCCTGAAGATACAGTGAGTTTCAACGTTTTATTTAGTTAAATATAATTAAATTTGTATTTATTTGATGATGTTTAAATGTTTCTGTATTCGTCAGAAGTTATGATAATCTGTTATGAACTCTTCGGCATTAGCTAGTTTCATATTATTATATTTGAAACTTCTTTTGATATTTGTGAATGACACGCAAAATTTGTAAAAACTTTATATCTAATCTAGTTTCATATATAACAATGGTGTTTAGTGTTAGAATACCGGTACCTAGTGTTCTTATTAAGATGCACTTAACTCTAGAAAGCATATATCCAAAACTACCTAAGTTTTTTTCAATCCTAACGCCTGATGTGGTTGTATAATCAGACAGAATTCGTAAGATAAAGATGTCAAATTCACAACAAGAGATAACAATCTCTTTCTCAAATTTAACCAGTGTATTAAGCCTCTGCAAACAGGTCTTGAGGTTGTCAGATAATTCTGCTTTCTCTTTTCAGCTTAGTTTCAGATGTGAACTTGGGGACACTTGGTGATAAGTACCCATAAAATTCGGTTGACGTTGAATTTGGAAGATATTTTTAAACGTGGAAAAAAATCATGTTGTCAAAACAGTGTTATGCACTTTCTGTTTTATTTAAATGTAAAGGTCAGGTATTTTAAAATCTGTAATACACATTTTTTGTTGAATACAATACCTCAATACTGTTTATAACTTGTAATTTATTGAAGGAATGTGAATGATTTTATCATGCATTACAATAAAATGAAGCATTTGAGTAAATACAGTATTGATAAGGATAACATTCAATATTGTTATTATTCTTCATCTTACAACGAAGGATAACAAATATATCATTCGATAGTCGGAAAAATTATGATTTTACACCAGGAAGATAAGGCAAATAAGGCGCTTACAATAGCGCTTTACCAACGTTGACATCCCATAAAATACAGTAATTTAAGGATAACCGCTGTATCTTGAGAAACTGTGCACCTCGTGGGAAACTTTGTTATCACTGTCCCTCACGAGTTGGCAGCCCTGCTATCACCTGATTGGCCGACTGCCAGTGTTAATACCACGCATGCGCACAGGTTAATTAAAGAGCTGCGTCAGTAAGAATTAGGTTTAAATACTCATGGGCTTTGCAGGCCGTAAGTTGAGCTTATCTGAGCGTGGTCGGGGTCTTAACAACAATGTGTTGCACGCCATGTGTGACTTGCTTTCTAATTCGCCGTAAATACGTATGTGGTAACAGGTCTGGTTGAAAACAACAATTTGGATTATATTAACACAAGCTGAACAGATACAGGCGTTTTTGGAAATAATGGAGAAATTATTCCTAGCTGAAACCATCAAGTTTTATTTTCTATAATACAAATAAATATTCCCCTTACCTTAATTCTTTGAAATTTGATCAAACGTATTCCCTTCGATTCCTGACGACATTTTCACGATGGAAATCAAATCGAGTTTTTACAATTCATAGATCCAGTTGACCGGAAAGTTTCGTCAGTTGCTTTACGAAACTGACTGCAAAGCTGACTGACAGTAGTTACTGGAGGCGTTGTTTTTAGTTGCGCAGTGACTCCGAACACGACCGCGACGTTTCGACAGAGTTGCTATGTGCTTTGTCAGCGAGTTAAGTGAGTTTGGACAACACATCTGGAGCTATTAGTCGGCGCTATTTGGACCTCGGTCAGCGCGAATGGTCCTTTGTCTTGAAATGTGGGTGGAATATGTAGCTCAACTACTTGATATACTACCCACTTGGGTCACTGCTGAATCAGGGTTGTAGATGGGATAGCAAAGTGTTTCACGTGATAGATCAAAACCTATTGGCGATGTTCTTGGTACGGTATTCTATAGAGTTTATCGATGTTTTGATTAAAGCTACAAACAAAAGATTGATATCCTCACCTTCGTTTGTGTGGCTAGAACGTCTTATGTACAAATATGGCAGCGGTTTTCTGAAACACAAAAATATGATTTTACTTTCACGGCCAAAAATAGTATATTTTCAGTAGCCTTACAGCAATAAGGGTAGCCTTTAATTTAATAGCACAAAAAAATTAAAACACAAACAACTCAGCAAGAAAAACACAACACAAAACAAAAATGAAAAAAAAATGCAAAGATAGTGGTAACAAAATAGTAGCCCAACAGCGGTGAGAACATATACGCTCATGTTAATGCTGATAAAATCTTCATTTTATTTAAAAATAATGCAAAACATATTTCCATGAAAGAGGTGAAAACTTTATTTTTAAGTGGATTGGGAAACATAAATCACCATACATTCTATATAATATAGATTTATGAAACAAAATGAGGGTTATAATCATGTCAAATACATTATAGCATCAAAGAAAATATAGAAAAATAACCAAAAAAAATTCAGAGCAACACCAGTGGTTGTTGCTGATCTTCACCAAACTAAGCAACCTTCATTCTATATAAATTAGACGTATCAATAGCACGATTATAAACTATAAACTTGGAGTAGATCGTGAAAGCTGAAAGCTATAGAAGAAAAAAACAATACAAAAAACGTCAACACCTGATGGGACAAATTCATCTCGGAGAGAACTGAGGGCACTAATCCAATCTGTATCTTATATAGATCTAGGAAGCAACAACAGGAGTATGAACATGTAGTAGGTCGTAGAGACCATAGCGGCCGAGGAGGCGGGGCGACGATATAAAGTTATCGGCGATTACACCTCCGGTCCGGAGGCGGGAGAGTCCCCCGATTTACGAGGGAACATCCTCGATCCTCAGCAGTGGCGGCGGCGGCGGCGAGGACTTGAACACAGAGTTCCGATAAACCTCGGCTTGTAAATTTGGCAGAAGAAAGTTACGAGGATAGTGCGGTAAAATATCGGTTATAGCTGAAACGCGGTCAGACGGATTGTCGTAAAAATAGATCGACCTAGAGTTTGGAGCCGGATGTCGAGTAAGATAGTTATTTGGTCAAGTCAGACAACTTTTTGTGGTTGAGATAAGTAATTTACTTCAGATTGAAAAATGTAAGAATTTCTAAATATATGATTTTTCCAAACAAGGTGAGTAAAGATTTATTTGTGGAAAAAAATCTTGATACCAAAAAAGTTGATTTTTATGTTTATTCCTACATTAACCATAAGCAGTCTTCCTTCTGTATGTAACAATCAATAAAATACATTATACAATTAATTCAAGTAATCGTTATGGACACCATTTTTAAGGATAGCACTAGAGAATTAAACGTTGGATATTACTGAAGGCATATGTACACTTTAAAAGCAGCTTCGTTAATTTGGATATACGAGCATTAAGTAAGTTACAATTTTATACATGAGAGAATAGCAATAAAAACTTGTTTATACTTGGTTTAATTAATATACACCGCATATATTCTTTGGTGGTGCGAAGAGATATACAAAGACATATACATATTTTATTATCGAATAATAAGACACAAAGTACATCACAATAGTCAATAAAATAAATGAATGATGTTTTGTGGACTGTATCTGGAATGAAGAGACATGTATCCTAACATAAGATACTTATATTGTATTTTATTGAAAAAGTATACTTTCAGTTTTCGTTAGACTCAAACCTGATAATGCTATCACATAGCTAACAGCCATTTGTCATTGTAGAGTCTTCGGGACTGCAGAGCTAGCCAAGGTCCTTCATTCATTGAAAAATCTTTGAACGTCTACTAAAAAATCTGTAAAGAAAAAATATCCCGAGGGGAGTGAGCTGGTCCAGTGAAAAGAGGGCCTAATTCAACTCCTTGAGTTCACTCCCGTAGTTCAATCCCTGAGGTCCCGGGTTAAATCACATCAACCACCAATGGATTTTATCCAAGTGATAATTCAGCAACCACTAGACCCAGCATGAAAATGTGAAAAACAATCCCTGGCTAGAGCCTAGCGTACTACAGAATTACAAGTGGAGACTTCAACGGTTGGTTTTACTGAAGCCTCATCGCAAAGTGGAGACTTCAGTTGGTTTTACTGAAGCCTTATCACAATACACACCATCAACACTGTCGCATGAGAAGCCATCAATATCGTGTATAATACAATGGGTTGCTCAACCATACATAAACGTCCCGATGCCTCAGGTTGTGATAATAAATAACACTCATTGCAGTCCCCAGACAGCACGCTCGCCAGTTCATCATGGTGAAGTCCTATTGAGTTTTCCCTCCTCTTATTATAGAAACATTACTTTACCGTAATTGATTGCTCCCAATCAATTGTTTACTTTACGTAAATCAAGCGCAATTTTTAAACAAGGGGAGGGGGTTGTTATAGTGTCAGAGTGCGGGGTCTAGGTCCTCAAGGTCCTGGGTTCAAATCATACCAATCAATGGGTTTCATCCATGTGATGATACCGTGGTCCTCTAGGCCCAGCAAGAAATAGCCTGTAAACCGGTTCCGAGATAGAGCATAGCGTCCTAGGATATTAATGCGAGACATGAAAAAAATAGGTTAAAGTAATAGTAAAAGTAATACAATACTCTTGCTGTACTTTTGCTGTCAATACGAACTGTATTATTAGGGCTATTTAAAAAGAGGTATGATGTTTTACAGTATATTCTCTAGCTTAGTTAAACAATACGGAGATTTGTTTTAGTAATTAAATACATATTGGAAAGTCTATTCCTCCCTTCGGAATAACATGTGTTTTCAAATCAAGTAAAATCGGTAAAAAAATTAAGTTCTTAAAAATATTATTCTTTTACAAATTTCTGTTGTTTTCCTCATTTGACGTTGATACAATGTACTCTCAATATTTAGATTGTACTCCTAATACCTATGTACAAATAAACAAAATTAAGTTAAAAACAAACTCCACGATGATATAAATTATTATTGAAATGCCGTTAGTAGTGAAGAAAATAAAAAAAATAAACAAACAACATATGGTACTAATTCACAGATGGGGGAAACGGAACTTCAATAAATTGCGATACCTGGAGTGTGGGGTATAGTGATGTTGCGATTACTGCTATATATCTGACTATCCTTGACCGCTCGGCGAGTACACTTCCCTATAGTGTGTGCTGGCTAGTGCTATAATAGTGGTAATGGCTTAATGTACCTTCCTCGCCAGCTGATATTGGCCTTCTGCAGACTACAAACTAACAGGATAACTGCTTAAGTAGGAATAGATACTATTATCTCCGTGGGAGTAGTATGTTAGCATCATTTTTAGTACTTTGCTCCTAAGACAGTAACGTAACCTAGGTGTGTATTTGAAGATAAATTAAAGAAACATGAGTGTAACCTTATATTGTTAATAATTTGTTTCCTTGGTTCTGATAATTTATTTAAGGCCAATTATGAAGGACAGTTCAGTTGTGAATCATATCAACAGTTTCTGAAATTTTAAATGCATATCACATGTTTTCAGCGTTTTTAATCAGCTTTGTTCTCACACCAATTAAAAATAAAAATTATTGGTTACGATTGAACTGATAATCATTGTAAACATAGTAATTGAATTTTTGAGCTTATATATCATGCAAAGAGGCAAGTTATAATTTTAAATTTCAAAATAGTTTCAAAGTTAAAAAAATATTAATACCTACCAAGGGTAAGGGTTTTTAAAATATTAGAAGCGAGTTGATTACACTTAACAATTTCTTTGAGATTTTATTATGCCAATGACATTTAATTTAATCTTACTTCAGCCTGTTTATTATATACTAGTGTACATTTTGCTCGAATTCGAGCAATTGATAAGTATTACAGGATTTGCAAACCAAAATGGTTGTCTTTTTAGTAACCAACGTCTTGACCATAGTGGGTGCCGTCTTCTCTCAGACTTATTTCTTTGCTTTCTTGTAACACTGGCTGCAGAAATCGCCAACAAAAACACATCTTCCACCATATTACATGCACATAAACTGAAAGTTATCACAAAACTGCACTAACAGTTGGTGCTGAAACCTGTACTGTGTGGACGCATTTCTTTGCAACGACTTGACTGCAACGTTTTACCTGCGCAGATAAAACGTTCGCGAAATCCTTGCGTGTAGACCCCCCCTTTAACAATCATACTTAGCTATCAACATTTCAACAAAAAACACACCTACCTTCCCTGTAGCAGCAAACCCAAGTATTCATATTAAAATTAACTTAATGTTATTTAAATAGGAAAAAATTACCATTTTCAGGGAATATCTTTGTGTTAATTAAGCCAGGTAAATGGAAATTCGCTTAGTCTGAAGGTTTGCTGCGGATACACAATTTTAATAACAGCAAAGATTGAAGAACTAACAATTATTTCCTGTAAAAATATTATTACAGCAGTTCAAAAATATTGAAACAAACTCGATCAACAAATGATGTAACTGAAAGAATTCCATACTAATGACATTACATATAGTTTGACAGTTCCATTTAACAATGTTAAATGTTTACATTCGGGCATAGACAAAAATGATTCAGGCGAGTGACATATTTTATTAATGTTTATGATCCCTACCGTTCCTGTTCTAATAATTATGCAGTATTTAATATGATTGAACCAGCTGTGTGGAATTGTGAAATCAAAATTAATTTGACAGTTTTAGTTCTGCTTGTTTACATTTTTAAATTGTGTACATTTTTACACAATTAATTTAAATTAGTTAATTTAAAATGTTTACATTTTTAAATTAATATTGAGGTTTGTTCTTTGTTACCATGGATACCATCAATAAATATTTCACTCTTAATTTCTGACAACAGCTGGAGTTCCATAACAAATTTTGTTTCCCATGTTAATCTTATGGATAAATACGAAACTTTGAAAGGCACCAGGGTCTCACTCTCTAATTATTTTCTTAAAAAGAAAGTTTCCTGCACAACTTCACGTTACGCTCTTTCCAATGACACCAAAAACATGTCCATTGGTTCAGTAGTTTCGGAGGAGTAATTGTCACAAAAAACCTGCTTGCGTATTAAATAAGTACTAGTGTACATGT